GAGAGTTTTCTTATAGAAAATATCTCAGAATCTGAGAGAGTTTTCTTATAGAAAATATCTCAGAATCTGAGAGAGTTTTCTTATAGAAAATATCTCAGAATCTGAGAGAGTTTTCTTATAGAAAATATCTCAGAATCTGAGAGAGTTTTCTTATAGAAAATATCTCAGAATCTGAGAGAGTTTTCTTATAGAAAATATCTCAGAATCTGAGAGAGTTTTCTTATAGAAAATATCTCAGAATCTGAGAGAGTTTTCTTATAGAAAATATCTCAGAATCTGAGAGATTTTTCTTATAGAAATCTTTCTTAGAATCTGAGAGAGTTTCCTTATAGAAAATTTCTCAGAATCTAAGAGAATTTTTTTATAGAAAATATCTCAGAATCTGAGAGAGTTTCTTATAGAAAATATTTCAGATACTGAGAGAGTTTTCTTATAGAAAATATCTCAGATTCTAAGAGAGTTTTCTTATAGAAAATATCTCAGAATCTGAGAGAGTTTTCTTATAGAAAATATCTCAGAATCTTAGAGAGTTTTCTTATAGAAAATATCTCAGAATCTGAGAGAGTTTTCTTATAGAAAATATCTCAGAATCTGAGAGAGTTTTCTTATAGAAAATATCTCAGAATCTGAGAGAGTTTTCTTATAGAAAATATCTCAGAATCTGAGAGAGTTTTCTTATAGAAAATATCTCAGAATCTGAGAGAGTTTTCTTATAGAAAATATCTCAGAATCTGAGAGAGTTTTCTTATAGAAAATATCTCAGAATCTGAGAGAGTTTTCTTATAGAAAATATCTCAGAATCTGAGAGAGTTTTCTTATAGAAAATATCTCAGAATCTGAGAGAGTTTTCTTATAGAAAATATCTCAGAATCTGAGAGAGTTTTCTTATAGAAAATATCTCAGAATCTGAGAGATTTTTCTTATAGAAAATATCTCAGAATCTGAGAGAGTTTTCTTATAGAAAATATCTCAGAATCTGAGAGATTTTTCTTATAGAAAATATCTCAGAATCTGAGAGAGTTTTTTTGTAGAAAATATCTCAGAATCTGAGAGAGTTTTCTTATAGAAAATATCTCAGAATCTGAGAGAGTTTTCTTATAGAAAATATCTCAGAATCTGAGAGAGTTTTCTTATAGAAAATATCTCAGAATCTGAGAGAGTTTTCTTATAGAAAATATCTCAGAATCTGAGAGAGTTTTCTTATAGAAAATATCTCAGAATCTGAGAGAGTTTTCTTATAGAAAATATCTCAGAATCTGAGAGAGTTTTCTTATAGAAAATATCTCAGAATCTGAGAGAGTTTTCTTATAGAAAATATCTCAGAATCTGAGAGAGTTTTCTTATAGAAAATATCTCAGAATCTGAGAGAGTTTTCTTATAAAAAATATCTCAGAATCTGAGAGAGTTTTCTTATAGAAAATATCTCAGAATCTGAGAGAGTTTTCTTATAGAAAATATCTCAGAATCTGAGAGAGTTTTCTTATAGAAAATATCTCAGAATCTGAGAGGGTTTTATAATGGGAACTGATGCAAACCCTTTGTCGATTTAATAATACTTTCTAGTTTATCGCTTTGCGAGTAGAACATTAATCTTTAAGGCTTAAACATACTAAAGCAAACAATAATAATAACAAAAAATCTGTTTTGCGAAAAACGATGCATTACAAGCATTTAAGAGATGTACAAGCAGGGGTTTCCAATAGCGGGGATTTAGGACAACCATTTAGGAATAGTTTATTGTCATATAAAAACTGGAAAATTGTAAGGAAATTATAAAAACTCCTTTCCAAAACTTCAGCAATTGATATTATTTAAAATTTAACTGAGGAACAGCAGCCACATCGCCGGGACAAACAAAAGTCACCGATTTTGAAAACCCTATGTTAGGGCAACTTAGTCAACCAACCGAAAAATTATGTAAAGAACAAAATAGAATGCCTAAACTACTTACTTACTTAGTAAGTTACTTTGCTTACGAGTATTTATACTTAAATAGTACACACTCCCATACCAGTAACCATCATTAAACATTGAAAGCACAAGTTTTTACGCACTTTTAAATACAATAAGCAAAAATAAAAAAATAACTAAAAACTTGTGTAAATAATCATGGATGGATTGTAAAAATGTTTATTTGCTGTAGTTTTACGTATGAATGCAATTTGAATGAATGTTGTTTTTAGTTGGTTGCATGTCCGTCCATACGACTTTAAAGGTTACAAACTAAACTACAAGTGAATGACCATGATTTTGAATTTTTCGTTTAACCAAAAAGCAAGGAAGAAGAACAAGTTATAGTTAGGAAAATAGCATAAATAAGGAGTGTTTCTTTTCGCGAGATAAAGATGAAAACGCACATCACACATAAAAATATTCTAAAACAATAGTTGATGGTAGGAGGAGGGAGTTTAGGGGGGTTTTATTAGGTAAAAGACCAATGACCAGATAGTTTTTGGTATAAGTGTATTAGTATACGAAGGTTGGAATAAATTTAATGTTAAAAGAATTTTTCAAGAAAAACTTTACATTATTTACCTATTGTTGACATCATGTAAATAATGTAAATAATTGTAATTCTACTTAATGTAAGTACTTGTTAACATTTTTCAGTATATAAATAAAAATTTACATTATTTATATATTGTTTACATGGTGTAAATAATGTAAATAAACATAATTTTTAATAATTTAACATTTCTACATGATTTTATTTGTTTCAAAGGAAAATTTACATTATTTACCTATTGTTGACATCTGTAAATAATGTCAACAATTGTAATTTCACTTAGATTAAGTGTTTGTCAATGTTTATTAGGTCCTTAAAATACAATTTACATTTTTTACATGATGTAAGCAATGTAAACAATAAGTATTTTTATTATTTTAACTTTCGTACATGAATTTTGGAGTTTTGAAAGGCATTTTACATTATATACCTATTGTTGGCATCATGTATGTAATGAAAACAAAAGCAATGTCACCTAGTTCAAGCGTTTTTAAACTTTTTTTGAGGCAAGTAAATAAAAATTTACATTATTTACACATTGCTTACATGGTGTAAATAATGCATATAATAAGTATTTTTAATATTTTAAAAGTTCCACATGATTCTTGATGAGTTTTAAAGAAATTTCACATTATTTACCTATTGTTGACACGATGTAAATAATGTAAACAATAGTAATTTTACTAAGTTTAAGTATTTTTCAACGTTTTTGTGGTATATAAATGTAAATTTATATTATTTATACATTGTTTACATAATGTAAACAATGTATTTTTCACTATTCGCTTTAGTCATTCCCCACCGACCACTGATTTAAACTCCTTTTCGAACTGCTTTCCTAAACGTGCTTGGTCAAAAGGTTAACGGAAAAAAATGAGGCAAAACAAAAACGGAAAATAAAAATTAAACTTAAACTTAAGCTAGCAACAACATTTTAACAATTGTAACTCTAATGGAGTAGTTAGTTGCAACTTGCAACAGCAGCAATAGCACTTACTAGTATTTAAATATAATGTAAGAGAGAGTAAACTCTGTCTGCCTAATAATGATAAACATACTAACACACTAACTATGCCACTCATGAGCCATTAAGACAAGCAAACAGACAACCAAACACTCTTGCCACAAACTAAGATTTGTTGTTGAAAAAAAAGAAACAAAAAAAACACAATAAACACATTTTTTAAATGCCACAGCAAGTTTCGAACATATTTTGGTGATTTAAAAAACATGTTCGTTACATTCCATCAAATGTTGTGGAAAAAAACGCTTCTTCTCCCGACTTCGACAACATTCGATGTCGTTGTCATCGCCATTTGTTCGTAGGTCATTTTCAAATAACAACAAATTCCAACTTCAACTTTTAAAGTATTTATGATTAATTATGAGTTAAGACAAAGAGTTTCGGCAAAAATTTGATAAAAATCTTATTTTTTCATAAAATCAACAAAAAATTTGTAAAACTTGTAAAAAAGAAATCATCAACATGATTTTAAGAAGATGAAGAAATCGTCTTGTTCAGACACTTGTTCATTCAGTCTGTCGTGGGAGGCAGGAACACCCATGAAGTTGTGTTTTTTTCAAATTTTAGAGTTATAAGTTGTCATTACTAGACTACAGACTAGACTATAGACTAGATATAGACTAGACTATAGACTAGACTATAGACTAGACTATAGACTAGACTATAGGCTAGACTATAGACTAGACTATAGACTAGACTATAGACTAGACTATAGACTAGACTATAGACTAGACTATAGACTAGACTATAGACTAGACTATAGATAGACTATGACTAGACTATAGACTAGACTATAGACTAGACTATAGACTAGACTATAGACTAGACTATAGACTAGACTATAGACTAGACTATAGACTAGACTATAGACTAGACTATAGACTAGACTATAGACTAGACTATAGACTAGACTATAGACTAGACTATAGACTAGACTAGACTATAGACTAGACTATAGACTAGACTATAGACTAGACTATAGACTAGACTATAGACTAGACTATAGACTAGACTATAGACTAGACTATAGACTAGACTATAGACTAGACTATAGACTAGACTATAGACTAGACTATAGACTAGACTATAGACTAGACTATAGACTAGACTATAGACTAGACTATAGACTAGACTATAGACTAGACTATAGACTAGACTATAGACTAGACTATAGACTAGACTATAGACTAGACTATAGACTAGACTATAGACTAGACTATAGACTGGACTATAGACTATGACTATACTTTTAGGACTCATCTGTCTTTTATACAATTATAGCAATATATTGGATTCCCTTTAAATATTTCAGTTTCTCTTCTTCAAATGCAAACTTTAAAATCTTAAAAAAATCACTTACCTTTGGACTTCTGCTAAAAGTTCTTGATTTCTCATTGAAGATGCGGGTTTCTTTTGTGGCACTTTTTACTTATTTTAATTGATGATCAAAATTTCAATGCACGATTGGTTGCTTGATTTTCTCTTCACTTGTCTTGATGAGGTATTTAATTTATTTGAAATTGATTTTGAAAATTTTTATATCAAGATGACATTTCCTCAAGATGGTTTTTATGTGAGCAGCAGCAACAGGTTTTGTCTTTTATTAGCGCCTTAACACTGGTCAGTTTCTTTAAAAGAAGATCGTTTGGTATAAACAGGTGTTGTATTAAGTCTACCAAGTGAATTTCTGAGAGGTTCCTAAATCAAGTTGCAGTGTAATGTTGTAAAATTGCAATCTCTTCTTTTTTCATTGCTTTAAAATTGATAACAAAATTTAATATATTATTGAAGAGGCCAAAATATCTAAAAGTAAAAGAAAAATATAAAGATTATAGATCCCCCTCTCATTGCTCTGTTTTTATCCTTACAAATACTAGTTCATAAAATTTATTAATTCCCTGTCTTTAACATACGTTTTATTATGTCTTTTTATAGACTTGACTTCCTTTTGTTCAAAATAAATCACAACATTAAATACAAGATGCATTTAATGGCAACAAACGAACAAAAAACGTATTCAAGGATAAAGGACCAGATAACAATTGAACAATAAACAACAACCATAAGTTTTTTTTATTTGTTTGATAAGCTTTGAGGGGAGTTAGAGGAACCAAACCAGCCAGGCAACACCAATTGTTGCTTTGCCAGCCATTGCAATAAGACATCAGAGCAAGCAATAAAAAAATTATGTATTGAAATAAATGACTCGGGGTGTGAAAATTATGCATTTTATGGCTAAAGTTTGTCTACAGTTTTTTTCCTTTGATGGAAAGCAGGAGCGCTTTTTGTTAGAGATTTGTATTTAAAAATATATATACTCTATTGTCTATTCCAGACTCTTGTCTATGAACTAGAACTGAACTAGAACTGAACTAGAACTGAACTAGAACTGAACTAGAACTGAACTAGAACTGAACTAGAACTGACTAGAACACTAGAACTGAACTAGAACTGAACTAGAACTGAACTAGAACTGAACTAGAACTGAACTAGAACTGAACTAGAACTGAACTAGAACTGAACTAGAACTGAACTAGAACTGAACTAGAAATGAACTAGAACTGAACTAGAACTGAACTAGAACTAAACTAGAACTGAACTAGAACTGAACTAGAACTGAACTAGAACTAGAACTGAACTAAACTGAACTAGAACTGAACTAGAACTGAACTAGAACTGAACTAGAACTGAACTAGAACTGAACTAGAACTGAACTATAGAAACTAGAACTGAACTGAACTGAACTGAACTAGAACTGCTGAACTAGAACTGAACTAGAACTGAACTAGAACTGAAAGAACTGAACTAGAACTGAACTAGAACTGAACTAGAACTGAACTAGAACTGAACTAGAACTGAACTAGAACTGAACTAGAACTGAACTAGAACTGAACTAGAACTGAACTAGAACTGAACTAGAACTGAACTAGAACTGAACTAGAACTGAACTAGAACTGAACTAGAACTGAACTAGAAGAACTAAACTGAACTAGAACTGAACTAGAACTGAACTAGAACTGAACTAGAACTGAACTAGAACTGAACTAGAACTGAACTAGAACTGAACTAGAACTGAACTAGAACTGACTGAACTAGAACTGAACTAGAACTGAACTAGAACTGAACTAGAACTGAACTAGAACTGAACTAGAACTGAACTAGAACTGAACTAGAACTGAACTAGAACTGAACTAGAACTGAACTAGAACTGAACTAGAACTGAACTAGAACTGAACTAGAACTGAACTAGAACTGAACTAGAACTGAACTAGAACTGAACTAGAACTGAACTAGAACTGAACTAGAACTGAACTAGAACTGAACTAACTGAACTAGAACTGAACTAGAACTGAACTAGAACTGAACTAGAACTGAACTAGAACTGAACTAGAACTGAACTAGAACTGAACTAGAACTGAACTAGAACTGAACTAGAACTGAACTAGAACTGAACTAGAACTGAACTAGAACTGAACTAGAACTGAACTAGAACTGAACTAGAACTGAACTAGAACTGAACTAGAACTGAACTAGAACTGAACTAGAACTGAACTAGAACTGAACTAGAACTGAACTAGAACTGAACTAGAACTGAACTAGAACTGAACTAGAACTGAACTAGAACTGAACTAGAACTGAACTGAACTAGAACTAGAACTGAACTAGAACTGAACTAGAACTGAACTAGAACTGAACTAGAACTGAACTAGAACTGAACTAGAACTGAACTAGAACTGAACTAGAACTGAACTAGAACTGAACTAGAACTGAACTAGAACTGAACTAGAACTGAACTAGAACTGAACTAGAACTGAACTAGAACTGAACTAGAACTGAACTAGAACTGAACTAGAACTGAACTAGAACTGAACTAGAACTGAAGAACTGAACTAGAACTGAACTAGAACTGAACTAGAACTGAACTAGAACTGAACTAGAACTACTGAACTAGAACTGAACTAGAACTGAACTAGAACTGAACTAGAACTGAACTAGAACTGAACTAGAACTGAACTAGAACTGAACTAGAACTGAACTAGAACTGAACGAACTGAACTAGAACTGAACTAGAACTGAACTAGAACTGAACTAGAACTGAACTAGAACTGAACTAGAACTGAACTAGAACTGAACTAGAACTGAACTAGAACTGAACTAGAACTGAACTAGAACTGAACTAGAACTGAACTAGAACTGAACTAGAACTGAACTAGAACTGAACTAGAACTGAACTAGAACTGAACTAGAACTGAACTAGAACTGAACTAGAACTGAACTAGAACTGAACTAGAACTGAACTAGAACTGAACTAGAACAGAACTAGAACTGAACTAGAACTGAGAACTAGAACTAGAACGAACTAGAACTGAACTAGAACTGAACTAGAACTGAACTAGAACTGAACTAGAACTGAACTAGAACTGAACTAGAACTAGAACTGAACTAGAACTGAACTAGAACTGAACTAGACGCTTCTGGTCTTTTAGATTTTCTAAAATATTTCAATTCTTTCAAGTCTGAGTTTGGTACCATTATTAATTTTCAACAAATTGTTTTCATTACTACGAGTATTGTTGTGTATTTGGCAGTGGTAGTTGCCAACTACACTCAAAGGCAAAAACAATACAATAAACGGAAGTGCTAAAGGGTAAAATTGCAATACAAGCAAACAACTCACACACATTGTAGTAATGGTCTGGAAACAGTAATGTAGTTCAGATTTTGATGCAAATGGTCTTACAAGCTTACTGTTTTACATTTGCTGCATTACTGTGTATTGCTTTTCAAGTAGTGAATACCATTAATATGCTTCCAGCATGCAAATGAGTTGCAAGAACAATTAAAGATTTAACAACACATATTCATACATATTGCCACTGGATTTCTTTACTAAGAAGAATGAGTGGTAAAATATTATTGTGTAATAAATACTTTCGGGGTGTTGGAGTATAAAACTGATAAAAATACCAAAGAAAAAAAATTATGGAAAAAATACTTGGAAAACCAGAACACATAAAACCCTTTTGGCATTCAATGCTTAAAAGGGAATTAGTAGCAGCCACAACAACTTACACCAACATCCAACAAATGCCAGAGACACCTAAGTGCTGCTTTGAAGGTTGAGTTGAGAAGATTTTTTTTCTTCTTTTTTAGCTTTTGGCAAAGAATCATTTATTGTTTAAAACTGCTGTTGCTGCTGCAGATGATGTTTGGCCAGCAACAAAAGAATAAAAAAAAACTTGGGAAAAATACCACAAAACAACAAGTGCAATTTTAACAAATAAATAATTTAATGTCTAAACTTATTGTAGACCAAATGGGTTGGTATTTTATTACTGCCACAGACTTAATAAAGCAAGAAATTGGCAACATTAAATGCCACATGACCAGATGACAAATTTGTGGACTTTCTGTGAAAGAAACTTATTTATTGGAAAGTCTATAGAGTCGACTATAAAGTAAACTATAAATTTAGCTAAAGACTGAACTATAGAGTCATCTTTAACTTCAATCATTAAATCTACTTCAAATAATAGATTAAAATCTTTTGATTTTTTTAAAACATAATTTATAACTCGATTGATAATATTTTAGGGTTAGAATCTTTAGCTGATTATCTTTTAAAGAGTTCAAGTACTTTTTTATCTTTCTTATTCAGTTATTTAACACTTATTAATCCATTATTTGTTTTATTTGTGTTAACTCTAGTATTTACCTTTAATTACACTCAAAATTTATTATATTTTTAAGTGTAAAATATATCGGTCATAAATATTATTACAGTTTTATTTATTTAGATAAGACAACAAAAATATAGTCTGAGAAATTCTCATGTTTAGATTTTTTTGGTAAAGGGTTGGTTTATTTACTATTTTTATGATTTTTTTGTTATCGCAAAGGTTTCGGATTATAAACATTATCTAGGTTCGATAATTTGTTAATTCGAAACGGGTTTAATTTAAAAATGTGTATGTAATTTGGACTATAGAACCTACAGCGACTAAAAGAGTGGACTACAGACTATAGTGTTAGGAAAGGGGTGTATTATAAATTAGATATGAGACTCGACAATGCTGTTGAAAAAACTGCCAATAATAAAGTCGTTAAATTAAAAATGGAGTTAAAGTCGACTATAGAGGCGACCATAGAGTTGTTTATTGAGACGACTGTAGAGTCCAATATATATCCGACTATAAATATCTATATATAGAGCGGACTGTAGAATGGAATATAGAGTTTAATATGGAGACGATTATAGAGTCAACTATCGATTATAGAATCGACTATAGAGTCAATAAAGGAGTCGACTATAGAGTCAATAAAGGAGTCGACTATAGAGTCAACTACAGAGTCGACTATTATGGAGTTTACTACAAAGTCGATTATAGAATCGACCAAAGAGTAGACTATAGACTAGTTCATAGAGTCGACTATAGAATCCACAATAGAGTTGACTATAGAGTCATCTACAAAGTCAACTACAAAGTCAATTACAAAGTCGGCTATAGAGACGACTATAGAGTCGACCATAGAGTAGACTACCGAGTCTACTATAGAGGCGAGGTATAGAGCCGACATTACAGTCAATTATAAAGTAGACTATAGAGTCTTCTACAGAGTCTACTATAGAATCCACGATAGAGTTGATCATAGAGTCATCTACAGAGTCAACTACAAAGTTGGCTACAAATTCGGCTATATAGGCGACTATAGAGTCCAGCATAGAGTAGACTATGTAGTCTATAGATATAGAGGCGATCATAATGTAGATTATAAAGTCTACTACAGAGTCGACTATATAGTCGACTATAAATTCGATCATAGAGTAGACTATTGCCCCTACAGTCGACTACTGCGTTTACTATAGAATCGACTATAGAGTCGACTATAGAATATTCCATAGTCTACTTTATAGACTGATATAGATTCGACTATAGAATAGACTATAGAGTCTGATACAGAGTCGACAATAGAGTCTGCTATAGAGTCGACTATAGAGTAGACTATAGAGTCTGATATAGAGTCGACAATAGAGTCTGCTATATATTTTATAACAGACACGACCATAAAGTCGACTTCAGAGTGAACTTATTCAACTATAGTGAATTATAAAGTCGACTGTATAGTATTAATTTCTTTGTTAAAAAGAAGTAAGTATTTCAAATATATATATAATAAAAACTGCTGAAAACAATCAAGAAAATTATTTAGTGGAAAATATTGTAAATAAATCGTTAAAAACAGCTACAAACAATTAAACAAAAATATAAATGAAATCGATACATAAAAGTAAATTGATATAAATAAAACTTCTGCAACATATTGAAAACTTTTGGGATTTCATTAAAGATTTTTCGCCAAATTTACACTATTAAATTTGTTACGAAAATATTTATATAAATTACAATTTATACAACAACTCCCCCTTATGAATCTTTAATCACATTTTTAAGGATTCTTTTGCAATATTTTCTAGTAACAACCCTTTTACTTTATGGTTACAAAATCCGTAAGCGTAAAAGTGAAAACTATAGGATTAACTAAAGGCTTGCTAACACACACGAAGCTGACCTCTAAAAATGACCCAATGAAAGCGAAATGTAGTTAAAAATGATAACTAGACTGTCATTGCGAAAAGCAGGGATTTAAAGAGCAAAACAACAGCTGCTTTAAACCACCCTAAAATGGTGAACATTTAAAAACATTTAAGTTTTACAGTTGATTAGCTTAAAACCTTTGAACTTGTGTTGCTAACGCAAAGCGCTTAAATTACAATTTCAGCAAACAAAACCACAAAAACATTTTAATTTTTTAAAAAATTTGCACAAAATGAATAAAAATTTATTTTAAGAAAAAAACAATTTAAAGAATTATTTCGGACGACTTTCTTCAGAAATTTGTAAAGTATGGATATCATCTAAAATGCTATTGCTATCAGCAGGGCAATCAGGATTTTGTGATAAATCATTAGTAGAATCGGGTAATTGATTTTCTCTCTCAGTTCTTGAGGTAGTGGCTTCACTAACAGTTTGTTGCAATTCCAGTTGAGATTTTGAAGACTTTTTAGTTTTCTTTAGTTTAAAAACTGAATTCCAATAAGTGGACAAAGAAGATTTCAAATTGGCTTTTGAAAAAGAGGCACTTAACTCTTTCTCAGGACGTACATTAGAAGCAGGATTGGCTGTATTGTTATAAAGAAATAATTTAATTTGGGTTTAAGATTTTTTTATTTACAAACAAAATCCTACACTCATAACGGCCATAATTTAATTTAAAACGTCTATATTCCGAATTAGTTTGCTTTAAATCCCGATCTTCATGATCGTTTTGTGTAGGATTTTGTTGATAATATTGTATTGCACCACCTTCTTCAAATTCCATATGACTTGCTTCTCCCTCCAGGGCAGACCCTTCGCTTTTCTTTTTAGAGGGCAAACGAAAAAATCTTTTAAGCGAATTGGTTTTTATTTTATGTTCATTTTCGTCCTCATGGGCGGCTTGAAGTTCTAGTTGTGAATTTACACTTTGCTTTAGACTATCGCCCTGAGCTAAGGGTATATCTTGTAAAGTGGTTATCTTACGTAATTCACCCATTTCCGGAGCCGAGGGCAAGTCTTTTAAGGCTGCCAATTCTTGAGAGGTTAAAGTTTCAGACATTTTGTTTTATTTTATTCAAAATTTTAGGTTTTTTTTTTTAAGTCTTGAAAAAGATTGTTTAAGAAAAATATTTTAGTTTTTTTTTTTTTATATTTTACAATTATTTTTTGATCAACCGTTTTAAAGTGACAAATTTTTGGGACAAATTTGAAAAAAATTTCAAGGAAAACTGAGAAAATAGAAAAATAAAACAAAACAGTGAAAGAAATATGAATAAAGGCAATTTTGAAATCGCAGTTAGAAGACAACTTATAATCAGCTTAAACTTTGTTAAAAGGCCTTGAAATTGAGAAAAAGAATATGTAATCACTGACGTTTTCCCAGAATAATCAAAAATTTTCCTCAAAATTAATAATTAAGACATCTACAGACTATAGAGTCGCCTACAGAGTCAAGTGTAAAGTCGACCACAGAATCGATTATAGAGTTTATAGAGACATCTAGAAACTAGATTTGACTACTAATTCGACTATAGATATATCTACCGACTATATAGCAGACTAAAGTGTCAACTACATAGTCGTCTACAGAGTTGACTACAGTGTCGAGTACAGAGTCAACTACAGAGTCTACTGCAAAGTCGACTATAGAGGCGACTACAAAGTAGGGTTCTATATATCGAATCGAATATTCGAACAATCGACTTTTTGTTGAAAAAAAAACTCGACTATCGTCTGTGAAAAAAGTCGACTTTATAAATAAAAGTCGAAAAAAGTCGAAAATCTGAAAGTCGAATAAGTCGAAAAGTCGAATAAAGTCGAAAAGTCGAAGAAAGTCGAAAAAAGTCAAAAAGTCGTAAAAAGTCGGAAAAAGTCAAAAACTCGAAAATGTAGAAAAAAGTCAAAAACAGTCGAAAATTTTAAAAAGTGGAAAAAAAGTAAAAAAAAAAAATAGTCGGAAAATTCGAAAAAGTCAAAAAATAGTCGAAAAAAAGTCGAAAGAAGTCGAAAAAAAATCGAAAAGTCGAAAATAGTCGAAAAGTCGGAAAAAGTCGAAAATTCGACTCTTTATAAAATACTTAAAGTCGACTTTTAATTAAATGAAAAAAGTCGAAAAACCGACTTTTCATAAAATGCAAAAAGTCGACTTTTAACTAAATTACAAGCCGACTACAGAGTCAACCATGATAAAAATAAAGAAGGTAGTGTCAATCAAAAATTTTAATTTTTAATAAGGTTTTTTGAAGTTTCCTTTTTTATTAAAACTGAATAAAGCGTTGCCATATTTTAAAAAATTATGCTAAGTTCCTAGGAATTTTTAGTGAAGAATTTGTAATTTATTATTAGATTTATTCTATTATTAATTTTTGCGACGTACTGATAACGAAAACACACTGATTTAAATAAGACATTTTTCAATTTATTTTTATTACAATAATGAGTTTATTATATTCATATATGGACTGTAGTTTTGACTATAGTCCAACCTATAGACTAGAATAAACCCTAAACTATAGACTTGACTATTGACTAAACTACGGCTATAATTTTCTGCTATAAACGAATAATGAAATCACACTTTTCTATATATGACTATCCATTTGTTCCAATTATTCAACTAGATGCCAATGTAGTTCTGGCAAAATTTGAGGTTCGTAACACTAAAAGCTTTCAGGTCCATCAAAGTTTGTCTTAAATATTTATATTGATGCAAAAGTAGACTATAGTTTAGTCTATAGTCTGGACTATAGTCTAGTCTGCAGTCTGTACTATAGCTTAGTGCATAGACTGAACTAAAGTTTAGCCTGTAGTCTGGACTATAGTTTATTCTATAGGCTGGTCAAGTTTATAATTTGGACTATATTTTAGTCTAAGTCTGCACTATAGCATAGTCCGGACTAAAGTTTTGTCTGTAGTCTGGACAATAGTCTTGTCTGTATTCAGGAATATAGTCTGTACTAAAGGCTGAATTTTAGTCTATTCCGTGTTTTGAATAGTCTAGTTTGCGTGGAAATTCAATCCGTTAGTCGACCAGACAGAAGAAGGTAATGCTGGAAACATTTGCACTTTGACAAGTTTCGTTTTAACAATGTGGATATTGCATTGTTTTTTATATAAAGCAAACTCATCACCAGCTCTTTTAGCAAATCTTCTTGCAAGTTTTCAATATATTTTCCTGTTTAAATTGTTTAAATAATTAGTTTCTGTTTAATATTAAATATGTTATTAATCTTACCATTGAATTCAATTTAAATGCAAATATTTTGTTAAATTTATTCAATTTTGTTTAATTTTTATACAAACTTCAAAGAAAACTGGAGTTTTTCAAATTAATATGGTAAAACGATTTCTATGAAAACTTCATAATCCTTAAGCATGTCAGATGTAGAATTTAAAAAAATAAAGAGAGATTGACACTACCTTCTATTTTTCTATTATGGAGTCAACTATAGAGTCGACTACAGAGTCGACTATAGATAATTTTTTCCAAAATCGATCATGTTTTCTCTTAAAAACCTAAATTTTTCCTCAAAAATCGATTTTGTTTTGGTCGAAAACATAGAATTGACAGTAACTTCGTTAAAACACGTTATTTTTCTTCAAACATTTATTTTTGGTCAAAAATCTAAAATCAGCTTTAACTTCTTTAAAACGCGTTTAAATTGAAAAATATGTTTAATTTGTAATCACTTATATTTGCCCTTTAAATTTAAAAAGCTGCTTGACTTGTAATCCCTTAGGTTTGCTCTAAAAATTTAGAATTTACCTTATAAAGCGATTTTTTCGAAACACTGTAAACTTCCTTTAAACATATTTAAATTGTTTTTTGTTCTTAATCTTACATTAAAGACCCCAAACTTATCTAACTACCTACGATAAATTCTCAAACATAATTTCTCTCAATACCGGCCTTTCCGCATTGAAATCCTTTTCCCATTTTGAGTAATATTACACGTAATGTCATGTGATTAACACGCATAAGCACATCTTGTAAACAAACACTTGTTGAATTATTCAAATAACAGCTGATTTCTTATACCAAAACAGCTGATTAATATTTGTAAACAAATATTATAGATAACGGTACAAATTAAATAACACTCACTACAAAACAAACACTTGTTGAGATAAAATGTAAACAATAACAAAAATCAGCTGTTTAGTAGATAGACACTGTTGTTAAAGCAATGTAAACAAAACATTGAAAGAGAGCAGGCGCTAAATAAGCAGTTGTGTCATCAGACTGACATGCAAGTTAATGAATAAATCATAAACAAACAACTGTTGCTTTTGAAAATGTTTTGACGGGAAATATAATATTGATTTTTTTTTGCACTTTCTATAAACTAAATGGAGGATGGTGGAGCTCATTACAACACAGAGTTGTAATGTTATAAATACACAATTTTAGTGTGAAAAAGCAAGGACTGCTGCTACAGGTTTAAGTTTATTAAAAACTTAAAATAAAACTTAACAAATATTTTTGTATACAAAAAATTATTAAAATTAATATAAATTTTCACTAATAAGTAACTAAGTGTTAGGTAAGTAATTTAAGCAAAATTATTTGTCACTTTATATAATATTTAAAAATTACATTTAAAATTGTTTTTTGACCCCTTTTTCCCCAACAGCTGTTCTATGCGCATCTGCTAGTAAATAGTTATACACAATTTTGTGTGTTTAATATAAAATAGATACACTTTTTTTTCAACTGAAAAAGTTACTTTTTCAATAGTAGATATTTTATTAATTTTGTGTGCTGCTGTTTTTAGCAAAATCCGTAAAAAATTGCAAATTTATTAAAGAAATTTACAACTTTTGAGGTAAAATTTAGCAAATTTGCAAAGCCTTTTAAGTAATTTATAAAAATTAAATAAATTTTTTTAAAAATCCATCAAATTTAACATAAAACAGTTTTAAAATTAAATAACACCATTTTTAGTAAAGTTTTTATGTATAAAAAGTATTATATAATAAAAAGTTTAAAGGATTTTTAATTTTAAATAGTTAAATCAAAATTTTTATAAAATTTCTATTATTGTTAATAATTAAAAAAAAAAAAAAAGTTATTAAGCTGTTTTATATTGCTTAATTTTTAGAATGGCAAGTCCATTGGAAGGAGCTTTGGAAATTCTAAGGATGTGTCTGATATAATGACCGATAGTTTCAAGACCCAGCTCGTCAATATGGGTACTCGTGCTCAAGCCTGTAAGTTTTTTACTTTTGCAAAATTTTATATGTAATTTCTTTCACCAAACTTATTATTTAAATTTTTTATCTTTTTATGAAGTTATTTTATAAAATTAGGTCAAGTGAAAGGGTCACAAATTGGGCGTTTTCTATTATTTAAGAAACGATAAAATCGTTTCTAACTTCGTTAAATCGCATTTATATTGGAAAGGGAGCTTGATTTGTAATCAGTCATATTTTCCCTGGAACAATAAATTTTTTTGAAACAAACTATAGAGTCGACTACAGAGTCAACAATACAGTCTATAGACTATAGAGTCAACAATACAGTCGACTATAGGTTAGACTACAGATGCATATACAGACTATAGAGCCGACTAAAGAGTCAACTACATATCGTCTAAAGATTCGACTACAAGGTCGACTAAAATTGTTTATAAAATCGACTATTAAGTCGACTCAAGGATCGACTATAGAGTCGACTAGAATCAACTTTTAAGTCGACTATAGAGTCAACTATAGATTGGACTATAGATGCATCTACAGACTATAGAGCCGACTAAAGAGTCAACTACATGTCATCTAAAGATTCGACTACAGAGTCGACTATAGAATCGACTATTAAGTCGATTAGAGAGTCCACTATAAAGTCTACTAAAGATCACTCATAAAATCGGCTGCAAATTCGATTAAACGGGTTGGGTTCAAATTGAAAAGAAACTTGGTTTGTGAATTTTCGATAATTCGATCGATAATTTTCTTCTTCAAAAATTGAATTATGGCTCGATGACATAAAATCAGCTGAAACATTGTTTAAACTGGTTTAAATTGAAAAAATGTTGCTTCAAAATAGACTTTTTACTATTTAAATTTTTAATTGTCTATAAAACCCTTTGTCCTTTTTTCCATTTCTAGTTAAGGCAAAGTTACGTTGCCTTCATGAATATCATGTACGTCTATTACATAATGTCTTACCGGCGCCCTCTGGCGCTGACATC